TTAAGGTTGATCAAGGTTTTATTCATTGTTATTTGTTTTGTTTTATCATCTGACTGTTTGTAAGTCTGTTTAGGCACATTATTTATGTTTTAAACATATAGTATATTTGTATTGTTTCACTGTTTTATAATAGATATATTTAATATCAATATATGTGTGTATTGTACTTGTTATTAATTAATGTGTCCTTCAACTTTACAAACTATAATGTTATTTGTATGTTTGTATTGTCTTATTGTTGTGATAATGTTTTTATTATTGTTGTATAATGTTATTTGATTAATATATTGCTTTGTACAATCATAATATGTGTTTGTTGTTTTTATATTGTAGATAGATGAAATAGTGTATTTTACAGTTTTATTTTTCATCATATATTGTAATATTTGTTTGTTTATCATCTATTTTGTATCAAATTCTGTTTGATATTGTTTTAATCATTTTATTTGCTTTATTTGCTGAATATATACATACATTTGTTATAAAATATGAATTTATTTAATTTAATTTGAGTGTATTGCTCATTTTTGTTCATTATGATTAACATTATCTTGTTTTATTCAAAAGGATTAATGTTTTGATCACTGTTATGTCTGTTGCTTCTTTTAATTTTAGTAAGTGCTTCACATGTCTAGTATAGATTGCTTTAGAAATATGTGCCATTCTTTAGCTTGCCCAGATTGTTTCTCAGTTATACATCTGAATATTATTTTGTTTACTTGGTTATTCATTTGCTATTATGTTCCACATGTTAGGGAATAAGCATTGTAAGTTTTGCATAATACATGATTGTTATTTTCAATGTAATATACATTCTGTTGTGGAAAGTGTAGTTCTGTTCAATAGTTCTGTATAGTTCATTATGTGCTAGAGATACTTTTCTACTCAACATTTTTGTATGTAGCATACTTCTCTGTGTTTAAGTATATGCTCTGTAATATATTTGTTCATAATACATTTAATAGTACTGTGTATAGTGTGACCATCAAAGATTCCAGAGAAAGTGTCTCTTACATAAGTATTTTATTGTCAGATTTGTCAGATTGAGCGGATTTGCTTGTCAGATTCAACAGATTTGCTTTGAATTCATTGTAATAACTTTATAATTGTGTTTTGTGGGATGTGCAAGATTAATTAGTAATGTAGTCAATATTTCTGCATCATTTAATTGTTCACTATGTTTCAATCATTCATTATGTCTTATGTTTTTGTGAATATATGCTATTATTACTCCCCTTCAATTCAAGAAGGTTTGCTTTGAGCAATTGGCTTTTGTGTATAATAGATTTGTTTGTTTGTTTTCATTATTTTATTATTTGTTTAAGCATTTCTATGTGAATGCATAAATGTGTTTTGTTTAATAATTTTGATGTTATTTGTTATCTTTGTCTGATTTAGTTATTAATTCTTTTTGAGCATTATACTGATTGTTATTCAAGTTTATACTCAAATAGATTGTATGTATGCTTGTGTATTTTGTTTGATTATTATACATACATTTGAATACTTTGTTATTTGGAATATAATCTATTGTATTGTTTATAAAGGATAAGTTTACATATTTTGTTTGTTATATTTGCATACATTAAGATACATTATTTCTATTCACTCAGTATCATTTGTCTTCTGTTTGATGACAAAAGTATTTGAGCTATAGTGTCTTGTTTCTGTTCTGTTTATTAATTTTATTCTTTTGTGATGGGTGCAAGCTTCCAGCAAGGCTGTTAATAAAGAATACACTGTTATGATATTATTTGAACTTCAAATAATTATTAATATTTGTTATGTATTGATCATAGATATATTCTTTGTGAATTCTATCTTTCTGCTGTTTGTAGTGATCTATTAAATCTGTTACATATTGTGTTTAATTATTAGTAAAGTGTCTGATTAAGTTCCAAACTTATGTTTGTTTCTTTTGGTTTTGTTCCAACATTTGTTTGTCTTTTGTGTACTTGGCAGTAATGTTCTTTCTGTCACTTGGCCGTTCAGACTATCTAATGTTAGGCTATAATGTTTTGTAGCATTAGTTGTTTTGTTCTGTGTTTGTATTATTGTATTTGTCAAGTTTTTTTTAGTAATATTTGATTGTTTATATTGTTTAAACTGTTTGTATTAGTTGTATCAACTTAATACTTTGTTATCATGTATATCTTATTAATACATTATATTGTTACAATGCATTTGTAACTATTGTTTGTTTGATTTTTGTATAGTAATAGTAATTGTGTAAGGTATAAGATATGTATTTATCTGTATAGTTTATAATGTCAATATTATGCATATATGCATCATTATATTGTTTCTTTGTTTGTAGTATTATGGTTTAATTTAATTCAATACTTTGTATTAGTATATATGTTTGTTATTATATGTTTTGAATGTTTACAACATTGTTTCATATGTTTATTAATTGTTTTTATCATTATTATGTGTTTGTTCAGTTGTATTTACATTTAACTTTGTGTTTATTTAATGAATAATAGTTTTATACATTTGAATGTATTATTATTATTTTGTATGTTTGTATATTTGTATATCTATACAATATGTTTTATTATTTCATTATATATGTTTGTATATCTATGTGATATATGTGTGTTTGATAAATATATGTTATTTATTGTGACTGTGTGTTTGTGATAGTATAAATTGTTTTTATATTTGAGTTATTATACTTTAGTAGCATTTATACTCTTGTTTTTGTTTTGTTTGTTTAACTAATAATTATTAGATTGATTGTACATTTGTAATAGTATTTCTTTATATTGTTATTATGCTTTACTAGCATTATTCTTTTGTTTATAGTATTAATCATTTATATTATTAATATAATATCAAATGTTTGTTTGTTATGTGAGATGTTATTATTATAATGTATCTCTGTAGTGTAAGATAAGGTAGTTCAGCATTTGAATGTAGTATTACTGGGTACTCATTGCATTTAAAGCAACTAGTCTGTCTAATATTATTTTTAATAAATCAATGTGTGTTTAGAATACTCAGACAGGTGTGTCTAGGTCCTTGTAGATAATATGTTCTGGTTACAAGTATTGTAGCATGTCTTGTTATATAGAGCAATTGTAGTCTTCAGGACAAGACAATTTGTATTTAGTATGCTCAAATGGGAGTGCTAAAGGTTTGTAGACAAGTAGGATAAATCATACATGTAGAATCAAATAGATTCAGTGTTAAATAGAGCAGTTCAATAATACTTATCAAGTATAATATGATTGAGAGTGTTAAATCATTTGTACTATAGTGTATAGTATACTGAAGTGTTTAAGATGACAATTATAGTACATATAGTTATACATATAACTACTGAGGGGGAATCATAATCACTGAAATAATGATTTCAAGGCATTGTGTTTATAGAGGGTAAGATAAAAGTATAGTAATAATGTAGATATGAGTAGGGAGTGTAAGACTCATAACCTGTTAGTGTTTTGAGGTCACAATGTTTCCCTAAGAGTTAGTCACACAAGTAGGGGTTTAGTGGACTCTGCTCATAGTGTGTAAGTGTTAATACAAGTTGACTGTATAGTTTGTAATTTGTTGTATATGCTTCATTGTCCTTAGATTAATGTATTATATATACTATTCTATATTGTATGTCTCAGATGTATGTCTTAGTTAATGTCTCAGTGTAATAACATATTATAATAAGACAGTTCTGTATTGTATAATGTATATATGTGTATAGTAAGACATTAGACACATTTATCCAAAATAAATGTTAACACAACAGGATACATTTAACATAATATTATAGTCTTATTTTATAATTATAATTATGTAACTATTTAGCTAATGTTCTAAAAGAATTTCTTCTCTTCATCTTATTCCTGTGACAGGAACAAACCTAATTAATCCTCTAGAGATTGATAGTAGGAAAGGGGAATAGAATCCCTTCTTTCCTCTAAGGATTACAATACTGTTGTAAACACAATAATGTATGTAGTATAAGTATAGTAATAAGGTAAGGACAGTTATATTAAAGCTACAAGCAGTTCTCTACCATTTATAGATTACTAGCTATTTGTATCTGTTGTTCCATATCTAATAAGGAAAAAGAAAAAGAAAATTCTCCTTTGTCAAAATTACAAATAGTAAAGCATTTGTGTATAATTAACATTGGTAGTATTTATGTGTATAGTAATTGGAACAAATTTGTACTTGTAAAAAGAACCACTTCTGCTCTTACAATTTAATAATGTTCTAAGTAAACAGAAATCTGATTCTTTAGAATTACTCTCTACTAAAGTGAAATGTATTTGTAACAGGAACTGTACTTAAGGCAAAACATTATTATTCTTTAAAAGCTCCTTTATACAACTAAATTACTGTAAGCTTAGTAGTTTACTACATGTGAACAGCTACTAAAAGATAGTACCTCAATTTAGTAACATGTACTTATATAGAGTGTAGAGTGTGGATTACTGATTAGTGATTATACTAGCCTTTTAGTGTAATAGTTAACATTGCTACACTAATGTTGACAAGGATTACATAATCACTGATCAAGGTTGGCAGTTTAATCCCTAGGGTGGGTTGAACAGGTCTAGCTTAAGGCTCTACCAGAAATGGTAACCCTTAGGGCCCTATATAAGGAAAACTCACACTATAAAGTTTAGAAAGTGTAGAGGGGTGTAAGCTTGGTAGCTTACTATATGTGAACAGCTACTAAAGGATAGTACCTTAATTTAGTAATATGTGCTTATATAGAGTGTAGGGTATGGATTACTAATTCGATCTCATAAGTCAGGTTTGCTTATGTTATGTCCCTAATATTGTATCAAATGGTCACTTAAGGTAATTCCGAGTCAGCAACTGTTTGATAATCTTTGCAGGAATGACTTCAGTAACTGGTATCAACATTCCAACAGACTATCTCCAACCCGAAAGAACACCTGTCAATAGCAAACTTTAATGCTTCTATCCACCGTTTTACTCATACAATCCACAAGTCTGTCAGAACAACTTTTGACAAAATTTGTGCCAGTTCAAGATTGCAGGTATGAATTGGGACCAGTATGATACAGTATATTGCCGATACATAAGTAAACAAATAACTGTCTACCCTGTAAACCCTTTAGGCTACAAAAACCGCTTCAGCATGTGTCATCACAAAACAACAAGACAAGGGAAAAGGAACAAGAAAAAAATCTCACCTTAATCTCCTCACCGACTTCCCGTATCCAGACCTTCGGCGTCGACTCAGCCGACGATTTCTGACCCTCTGCGCCTTCATCCCAGTTATAACTTACCCCGACCGCAAGACGGGTCCCGTCGCAGTTGAAGGCAACCGAGTTGACAGCTTCGGAGTATTTGCTATATTGCCGGAGTCGTTTCTTGGATTTATGGTCCCAGACGGAGACTGTACCGTCTGACCCTCCAGATGCGAAGGTGTTATATCTGAATTTAGTGGTAGCAATGCGTTAACGGGACAGAAGTTTGAGCGGGAAAGAGAGTAGATAGACGTACACCGGGTGGAACGTGATTGAGTTGACGGGCCAGACGTGGTCTTCACCATTCACGGTCTGACGATGACACTTGAAAGCATATTTCTTTTCTTGAACCTCCGGGCTTGAGTCGAAATACTCGACAGCTACTCGGCCTTCGACAGAGCCCACAGAATACCCTAGAAAACATGCCATAAACATCCACAGAACTTCATCGCGAAGCGTTCTCCATCTGACTTACCTTGTCCATCAGCCATACACGCAAGTCCTCGAGTGAGGAACTTCAAGCTACTCTCACGCGTCTGCACTGGTTCATCCATCCTTCGAATATCATAGATATGGAATAGCCTACTGGCCATGGCGATGACGAGTATGTTGCCGGTAACGTCCATGTTATAGACACGTTCCGGTAGATCATGCGAGGTTGTTTGAGCGTTCTGAGCTCGTGAGTCCCATAAGCGTACTGTGCGGTCCCATGAGCCGGTGATAAGTTGGTCTATAGTCAACAGTCAGTGATTTAAAGAAACTATAGCAGAAGTAGATATGGTACGTACTGGTCAGCTTCCCATACACCATTCGTGCGACGGAGTTGTCGTGTTGACCTAAATGCCGGATCAAAATCTCTTTCTCCAGGTCAAAACTATCAAAGCCGACAATTTGAGTTGCAGCCACAGTATGAAATAGTGAAAATACATACTCTCGCACAGATGTATCCAGCCCTCCAGTAAATGCATGTTTTGCGTCTGACGAAAAGCAACAATCAAGTACGGCGGCCCGGTGATCGAATTTGCATTTCTCCTCGTTCGCGTCGATATCGTAGTATCGTACGGTCTGCAATAGTTATTTCTCATAAGATCAAAATATGCCCATGTACGAGTGAAGGTGACGAACCGTGTCCCATGATGACACGAGTAAATGCGATGGATTGGACGGTGAAAATTTGACCGTCGAGATACTATCAAACGGCGGGGATGACAGTTCGTATTGATCTTCATCATGGCAATGTTATAAGCATAATTAATACACGACAACAAGGAGACCTTTCGTACCTTTGCTTTTGTCCGTCATTCTGGTTGAATTAAAGTCGTGATCTTGGAACCCGGTAGTCTCGCTTTTCGATGCAAAAGCGAGCCTTGAACGGATATTTTTATCGTCGGGCTTCAATTTACGCGGAGTCAATTATCCGTTAAATGAGTTCTGACAAGTCTTTACAGTGCTGTTCGATGATTGCTGTCTTGGTGCTTGACGACTTTAACGAAAGAAAGCAAGTTGCTTAGATCACGTGGTTATAGAAACGCGTCCAAATCACGTGTCGATTCTCGCGTATCGTGCGACTATTTAAGTTTGTTCAAAAATAGCGACGCTTCCTGAGACTTTCCCAAGACCTCCCATGCCACAACAACGACGGCGATGGACGCAAGAAAGCTTTACAAGTGTTTGTAATCTATATGCCCTATCACTAATCACCAATGTTACTCACTTACTTCCTGTATTTCTTGAATTTTAACAGTTTTATGCAAAGGGTATGCTCTCGCGCCACCCTTCGTGAGCGTCATAACCGTCTTCATCAATGCGCCATTTGGACGTTTCACCCTTCCAAACGATTCATGGCTAATTTTCGATGGTACGCTTCATTAATACTAACTTTCCCCTATCTGCTTGTATCCAATTTAAATTAATATTTTCTCCAATAGGACTTAAATCATGGATAATAATGGAAATTGTCTGTCCAATAACCTTCATCATAGGACTAAAACGGGCTCCTCTCGCGCAGGGAACGTCGACTCCTCCACTCAGTCTCAGTCTCGAAGACCCGCGTACTCTACTTTCACTTCTGTTCCTTATTCACTATGCAAATCGAGCGTTGATCTCGCCCTTACGCTCACCACCACGCTCGAAAATGCATATTATAGTCCCAATGGCAGCATTTTTCTTCCAAGTGATAAATGGCTCATTAATGGGGTCGTACTTCTCTTCTCCGGAGGCTTATTCTTTCCTCAACGCGTCGAATTCAATGTCGAGGTCGGGTTCACCAGCTGCACTTGGAAGAAAATCATTCTGGATTGGCGCAGGAATATGGATTGTCGGCTGGGCAGGCAACATCCTTCACGACGAAATATTAATGAACATACGCCGAGACGCTCTCAAAAAGAAATCAGATGGCGACAAAAAGTCCAAGCCCACCTCGACGAAACCACACTACGGTATCCCACAAGGTTACCTCTACCGCTACATCTCCTACCCCAACTATTTCTGTGAATGGGTCGAATGGGCAGGATTTGCTGTCGCCGCCGCACCAATCCCGTCTTTATCGTATGAAGGATTCACGACTGCCGCACCTCCGTGGCTGTTCTTCGTTTCTTTGGTGCTTTTGATGGGTACGCGAGCGTATAAGGGTCATTTGTGGTACCTTGAGAAGTTCCCGGAGTATCCGAAGGAGAGGAAAGCGATGGTTCCGTTCATCCTTTAATGAAAGAGAACCTGTAGATACTGTCTTCTTGGTAGGACACTGCTCATGTTCTTGTCTTGCTGTCTTGATGCCATGAGGTCTTGTTGAATAAAAATCGAGAGTAACTGATCAGTGTCGTCGTGTTCGAAATCAGCAAAGCAATAGAATTACTCTAAGAGTATGAAACGAAATCATATAGGTGTCGCCAAACCATAAAATTATAAACCTAGCCTTCCTGAATAATCTGTACGAAAAATATCATAGCAGTCACCCCTTTCCTCGCTCCCTACGTACATCAATTACACCACAACATTCACCTCGATCCATACCGTACTTTTCTACCAAAGTCGAAGGGGATATACTTGTACTTGATCATATGTCTAAATTTCGAAAAAAAAGTCCATGTTAGAGACGACGAAAGAAGGAAGGAGAAAGTGAAAGAAATTGAAGGGACGCACTGAATCTGTCTACGCATCGTAAGCGTGAAGAGGATGAAGAAGTAGATTACGAGGATAGGCCAGTAGACTGGTATGTCGAATGATTCTGAGAATGTACAGAGCAAAGCGATGAACGTTGCGCGAGTTGACGAGAGCCTGCAAACCAATAGTCACAAACGTGATATTGACATTTACATCGAAAAAAAATTAAATTCCCCGGTTAGTATTTTTCATATATGATAATAATAGAATGGAAAAGTGACGCACCAGAAATTCCACTCTGGGAGACGACGCACAAAAGGCCTGAATTCGTCATCCTTCTGCGATGGAAGCGACGGGATTGTATCTGCACCACCTTCTTCAATTTCATCTGCAGTAAGGTCCGCTTCGAGCGAGGGGTCGAATTTGGGCTGGAGGAAGGCGAGGAGCAGATTTAAGAGGTATATGCCGAGTGCATCTAAGAGTGCAAGAGTTCAAGGCGTGATGCTCCGAGATAACGTCTATGAAGTACTCACAGCATACTGTTCAAGTGTGGTCAAGGGCGAAGATATCCTGAATAAGCACATTTCCAGCAGAGAGGGACACGTATACGTACTAATATACCACTACGCCAATGTACACAAAAAAATTAGTGATCCAGACCATCAGCTCAAAAATAAAATACAATTCAACGCACCCCTTGCGCAAAGACGATCCTCAGCATAAACACCATAACCAGTCCTGCCGTCCCGAGCCAGCGATAAGCAAGGTGTGGCGCCGCACGATCAAGTAACGAGCGATACTGTCTATTGAGCCGAGTGTAATGTGTTTTCAAAGGTTGTAGGGGACCAAGGTTGAACGAGCTTGTGCTCGCTTCCGACGAGGACATCATCCTGGTCGCTTTTTGGAGGTGTAGAGGTTTATCTCGTGTTCAGGAGGTGGAAGGGTGAGAGTTACAACAAAGTGGAAAGAAATCTTGAGGAAAATAGGATGTGATCGTCGTGTTACGTGTCCAGTGTATGCCTTCGCCTGTTTGGGGTTGGACTGCGGAAGGGTCAGAGGTGAGCTGCGCAAAAGGTACTGTCACGGAAGGAGCAGAACTGTATTGGCAAGGTTTACCTTCGTATTCGTCGTCGTCAACAACAGCAACACGGCACGGACACTGCAGATGTCGAGTGAGTAGCTGTTCGGGAGGGACGACAATTCAAGAGACCGTGGGTTCAAGTGTACACGTGACTCAACTCGGAAAATTACGAGACTATAAAAAGTACACAGACCGATTCCATTGCCTCGGCACAACGCATCATCCAGCACGTCACAGCACATCCTTGAAATGCACAGGATGTTGTCAGATACTTGAATATGAAAAGAGGTGTGCACTTGATTACTCCTAGTGGCTTAGCCTGGATGTACTGCAAGGATGACAAACAGATTCATTGCGAGTGATACACGCCAATGTCCTTCTGTGAATCCATGGTATTCTATTGTCGCCCTTTCAAGTGCACTACTAATACGGTATTCCGAAGGAAAAATGAAACTGTCTAGCACTTCAGTGTAAATTTCTACATGTCTCAACGCTGGTACTAGGATACATCATCAAAGCTGAGTAGCAACTCGGCACTTTCTCCGTGACATGACCAGAGAGGATATTGTGCACATCCAAAGACAGCTAAACTATCTCCAGGCTCAAGGTGGCCAAATATCTCGTGCTGTGTGTCAAAGACTTTGCCCGAAATTTCATTGGTGGAAGAATGCTGTTTGACAGGATGATGGTGCGAAAGCCACGATAATGGTGTTCCGTCTGATTGCTTCTTAACGCAACTGAAGTCGATCAATCTTCGCCCCTTTTCCTGTATTGCAACAAGTAAGAAACATTTTTCCATATTTCAGTACATGTAACCTCTATTACCTCAGGAATGATGGCAATCTCAAACCAACTGTATGATCCTTGGCCACCGAAAATCACCAGGCCTTGGTGTCCGGAGTTAGTTGTGAGACAGAAACTGACAAGTCGTGCTAGTGTGTGTGTGTTGAATGGTTGCGTCGCTACCCAGAATTTCCTCTGTACGCTTGATCCCCAGGCACTGACGCCAAAACGCATTTCGGTGCGGACACAGAGAGTAGGACCAACGGCGTCCCACAGTGACTCGCCTTTCATGGCCGAACTGTCTTCAAACTCGCATATGTCGTCTCCACTACAATTTTCGACCGTATATTCCTTTGAGACCAATGAACATAAAGTGTAAACATTTGAATCTGCTATTATAATGGCTTATGCTCACTAAAAGTTTTTGCATGATCAAGACTTCTTGGTTAGGTCTATGAGTAGGAGTAGTGTTATGGTATTTCCTTGGAATGTTTGTAGGTGGGAAGCTACAGGGAAGAAAGAGGAGGAGGAGGGGGTGGGGTGGGTTAAGCAGGCAGGACTTATACAGTGTAACAAACTTTGTTGCACTGGCCTCGTCCTTTGTATTAATCAGTATATTAATATGGCAGTGAAATGTGCGTCTATCACATACCTCGAGGATGCAACGTGGACCACCTTTGATTAACACCTCTAGCCTTGAAATAGTGAGATGACTGATTTAGATTCATGAATCAGCACTCAAGGACAGAGCCAAGGTGAATAGGAGTCACATCTCCTCTTCTTTCCTCGGAGGCTGGGCCAGAGCACTGTCTTAGAGTGACAGAGAAGAGATACTAGCCAATGAGAGACAGAGTGTCACAGATGTATGAGCTTTAAGGAGGGTAAACAGAGGTTAAGTATAACTGTACTTCAGATATGAGATTCACCCAGGAGGCTACAGGGCATTACACTGCCGACAAATGCCTAGAAAGAAAGAAAAATTCCTCGTCAGTGGATTCTATTATAAAGTGTCGCATAGTTTACCGCCTCAGGATGTACTTGCAGTGCACGTCAGAATGGAGGTTTGATGCGAGCTATAGCTTGGTCAATTGCTTACACAAGGAAACAACGCGGAAAAAAAATCAAAACAATAAGGATAGAAGTCGAGTCCATTACATTATACGTTTGACAGAAACGAACGTTATAGCAGGGTGAAATTGAATCTACTAAGGATACAGTATAGAAAAGGGAAACGAGCAGTCTGGGTATAATAGTTCGAGGACTCTAGTCTTCCACAAGTCGAGCACCGCCCTTGTCAACCACCAGTCGTATTCGGTCACCAGCCGAAACATCTTTAAACTGTACAAATTGAGTGCAGACATTACTAGAAGTTTCGCTAATACAAAGATGAAGGTAGACGCACGGTAAGCTCCCTTGTACGATGGAGACTCTCAATCTCGTCGATGCGGTCACGGACACTATCTAGTATCTCATCAAATCCATCTGCCTCGACTACTTCCTTCGCAGCCTGAAGGATCACCATGGAATCCGGCCGGACATTATAGTTAACCTACAAATCGAACGACCACATTAACTCAAAGAAGCGTAAGGCCATTCTGAAAAACGAACATCTATGGATATAATATTATTCTTATCCAAATCTAAAGGGACAAGTCAATGTCAGAGCTTTACTAGGAAATAGCATTATAAAATTAATACGCACCATCTATAAAGTCAGTCCGAGTCATTAGTTGCCTAGTTTCGCCCTAAAAAAACACCGTATCAATGACAGGGCACGAGAGAAGATTTGAATCTTCAAAACCAATACACACATAAGTCACTGATGGAAGGAAGAACTCGTCTAACTCTTTCCCTTCAGCTGCAAGTTTTTCCTGATGTTCTTTATGCAGGCGCACGAACTCTCGCAGGAGGAGCCATGAACATGAGCTCCATTTTTGCTACACGCGTCACATTTGAAGCTGTCATGACTCGCCGCTTTCTTCGATATAGAACAAAGAACACGCACCTCGTCCATGACGTCGTCATCACAGTCTGTGATCAACCCAATCTGACTGAGTAACCAGGCCTTCTCTTTCTGTACCATATGCTCCGCGTATTGAACCATATCATCTGCCTTTGCAACTTTGCTCAGGAATGAAAGGCGCCCGCCGGAGAATGCGAGAGCGCTCTTAATCGTGTCGGTGTCCTCAATTGATTTGCTGGAGTCCCCACGGGAATGTAAGTATGCGCGTCGGAGACGTCGCACGGCTTGAAGCGCTTCATTTCTTTTTAGGTCAAAAATAGATAGCGTTAGCATGCGACTTGCACTTTTATCTGGTATATGAAAACGTGAACAATAGTTGGTGATGCTCGTAAAACGACTCACGCATCACGTTATATGGCCAGAAATCATCACTAATGGGGACTTCAATACAATTCAGTAGGATAACAAGAAACTCGGCTCACGTATTGAAAACCATTGTCATTATTCCTGACCAAGAATGTCGTCAGGCGTGTAGACTGGACAAATATAAAACCAGCTTACTGCTCTCGGCCCATGACTCAGCGCGTTGTTGCAATTGTAACAACATATTACGACCTTCATCCGTATGTTGGAAGAAATGAACGTTATTGAAAACGAGAACAAGGGGTTTGCCAGTTTTACGAGCACGTCGTAAAGCAACTTTTTCGAGTTTATTAAGAGCTTCGGTAGAAGTTAGTGACCGAAGAGCAAAGTCAACAAGCGGACACACCTCGCTCTATATCTAAAGCAGCACCTCCTACAAAGGGAAATGTTCTATTAATTACTAGTAGTACGTGTTAAGTGACTTTTATTGACCTTCCCGTGGATCCCTTCGCTGAAATAGACCCGTCTGAGTGTCTTCGTTATATTCGTAGTTCAGCGCTTTCCCGAGGCGCAGGCGGAATACTTCAAGGTCAGGATGTGCGTCGCAGATTGACACACCATCCGCATTGATTTTCGCCATGGCATCGTAAATCATAGTCGTTTTACCCGCGCCCTAACAAATGACATGAGCATTGTTGACATAGACATGCCAGAAATGCGGCAAACCTTGGGCCCTAGGAACATATAATAGTGGCCTTTTTCTTGCCCCGAAATGATACGGTCGACTAAATCTTGCTCTTGACGGCGCAAATGCTCCTCATCAGACGCGTAAACATGAGTAGACGTCTTCGCGTTGTCTGCCACTTCAAGGGCCGGATCATACCCGGCGTCAAATGCTTTATCCATCTGCGATACTCGACATTAGCAAGCGCATTGCACGTAGATCATAATTGCTCACTTTGACAAGGACGTTCCATTTATACCAGTTGATGTAAGCAATGCCACCTACAAATACTGTTGATGTTTAAATAATTTGCATGGAAACATGACGCAACGTGCTCACCCATTCCAAGTCCGATTACAGTAGTGAGCGCAGCATCAAATAATGGAGAATTCGTCATACGGAAGAGACCACCGCCTCCCGCTCCTCCCTGCCCACCTGGGCTTCCGGGAAATGCGACAGGCAGCGATAGATCTTCATATCGCCTGTCAACTTCTGATTCGCCCGCTTTACCTGTTTTCTGCGTCCCTTCCTTGTCATTTGGTAATTTCTTAGCCCCCCCTTGAGTCGAAAGCTGCCGTACACCCGTCAAAGGGGAAAAAGAAAATCTAGAAGTGGCGGACGCTTGACGTCGGAAAGAGAAGCATCGAATGACGTGGCTGGGCCGCCTGGGGATTACAGTTGATCTGAGCGCATTTTGAGATAAGACAAGGCCCAAGCGCATCCAGGGAGCACGGGAATGGTGATAAAAGGAGCGTGTTGTGGCCGGTAACTCGCCGTGTAATCTCAGCGCTAGATTTCGTTAATCGTTTGAAAGTTTGAAACATAGCAGGCGGGCGGGATTGTACAATCAAGCGCTCATCACGTGCCAAAACATTGATGAGCCCACCCCGCGCCGCAAGTCATGTATTGGTGAACGGTAGCAACAGCTCAAGGAAGCATCGTTTCCCAGACTGGCAGAATGTGTAGGCACCAATTCGACATCATGAAGAAGCGCGGGAGTGAGAGCTGCATTCGTCTGCAATCTTATCCCAGATCGCTGGACTGTCGCCGAAGTATTCCTAGCGCTATCAGTTGCCTTGAGAACTCTCGAAGCTCCGGTGGTGTGCTTAGGCAACAAGTCATTACAAATAGCACGACTTTTCCGCGACATGTGTATACGATAAGAGATATGTCAGTACGAGTAAATAAATAGATTCTAGCATCCTCGAGAGTATATTTGTTTATTCTTTTAGAAGTTATTTCCAATATCCAATCTCTACAACTCATTTTGCACTAGACACTTTACTCCCAAAATGAATATGTATTTAATCAAGACACCAGTTAACAAATATGCAAATCTACGAGGAAATTGCCATGGCAAGAATCGAGTAAGAAATAGCGTATTTGTGCGTTTCTAGCCTAGATTTTGTGCATACTTCTTACTCTACAAGCTAAAGTCTTACCAACATACTCTATTTCTTTACTACTAAGCTAGTAAAGTAAGTATATCTAACAGAATTTACTTAAATTAATTTATTCACTAAGATATAAGTAATTCTCTCAGTTGTTTTGTAACATCTCATTCAATTTTTAATCTCTTACAATTTCCTCTGAAAAATTTAAATATTTGCACATATTATCAATTTTAAAGATTTTTTTTTTGAGCTGTGGAAGGACTAGTTACATTTATAAGAAGGCATTCAATACTAGCTGTGCTCAATTCTTGTTTTTGATGCTCTGTATTTTGTTCCCCGGCACGTCACCGGGAGTCGGAAGAGAGTAGAAACCGGTAAATACAGGGAGAGAAATACAGCTAAGAAATGAGCACCTTAAGTAGCGCAGATTCATCATTCCATCGGACAATCAAAAGTGTAAATAGAGTAAGCAGACCTAATATAGAGATTTTGAAGAAAAATGCACATTTCTGCTCTATTTTCTTGTGTCTCACTGTCAACATGGAGCCTACAGACCAATATTTTATATGTTAACTACATACCTGAGATGAGACTTAAACCACCTAGTAGAATAATGGTGTAACAGTTTATACATGTAATCATCAGATTTGACAGCTGTATATCAGCCTCTTGGCCCACTTTGTGGTCGAAGTTGATATGCAATTAAAATGAAAATAAGGCCTTCCCAAGCCTCTTCATCAGTTTCAGCATCTAACAGGACAAGTAGACCAAATATTTTCAGAATATGCTGTAACTTGGCTAGATGGTGGTAGCAGGGCATGTTTTCGTGTGTGTCTCAATTATTCTAACAATTATCTATACCTACACTCATGTCTTAGATCTATGTAAGGCTGCCGGACCAGCCGTTCTCTTAGTTTCAT